TTATATTCTTTACGTCTTTGAAGAGAAAAAGTCCTTATGCAAGTATTTTAAGGATATAATGTATGCAATATTTAAGGATATAATGTATGCAATTTCCAGTTCTGAAATGTCTGTGATATATGTTGTGACTTATCTCACTTGTCTGACTGCAAAATCAGAATTAGACCAAGAGATACATCATGGCAAGGCATGCAAGATTGTGCCTGTCGTTGGCAAGAGCCTTAAGCCCCATACAGATTACAGTACAACTTCGCTCAGTTCCATCCCCAATTTTGATGGAGAGCATGGAGGGGGGTCCAAGGATCTCCCATCCCTCTATCTTTACCACCAACCTCTGAAGAGGACTCGCAGCTTGCCACGTATTAAAGTGCCCTCATGTCGCACAGACATTATACATTTACAAACATCCATACCTTCTCAGGGATTCAAACCCAGGCCCTTCAATACGACAGTCAGCATCACAAATCACTATCCCAGTAGGGTAGCTCCGCAATGTCTGTTGAAACCTACTGTAGTAATGCAAAGTTTATAATTTTTATGCATGTTTAAATGCATCACATTCTTTAGTCTCGGTACTTTTTAAATACTCACATTCTTTAGTCTCAGTACTTGTGTTACTGTAGTTCTTTACTCTTCTAAGTATTTATTAGGCAAAAGTGTTATTACTTAATAAATGTAAGGTACATTAAAAACAGTTTAGTAGTAGAATATAACATACCTTTTTCCTTTTAATAGAATATACAAACCTTTTCAGTGTAAATGTAAGGTACATTAAGAACAGTTTAGTAGTAGAATATACATACCTTTTTACTAGTAATCTTACTAACAATTTTTATGATAAAACAATTTATTTTGACCTTTTTTTTTGGGGGGGGATATGTATATTAATACATAGTCTGCAGCATAGCCTTGTCAGGAATGCTGATTTGACACTTACGTTTCTTCGGCTGGTAAATATTTTCACTTTTAAAACATTGCAATTTTTCAATGGTTATCAATATGTGTATATGCATTTCTTTTACTTTCAATTTTAAAATATAATGTTTTTTTTGATTAATTTGCAGTAGATAAAAGTCAATTATTAGCTATTTAGACGGGAGGTTTTATTTTTTTTTTTCTGATAATCAAGTTTACACACAATTAGATCATCATTTTTTCTTTTCAGATTGGATATAGCAAAATCAATCTGCTTGCTTATTCGTTATGGCAGGTTTCGACTGTATTTTAATAAGGCAGAATTTTGATTCAAATATTTCATACATTAATGTTTTAAAACATAACAGATATGGTATTAAGTTATTATCTGTTAATTCAGTGAATCTAAACTTTTTCATTATATTTTCTTATATTTGTATTTTTATTAAAATTTTATGGGTATGATTGGATATCTATTTATTAGTCTAAAACTTAGTTATATATATTCTTCAGGTAAGAAAACAGCAGCAAAGAGTGCTGTTTATTCTTCAAACAATGCCAATTGATTTACAAATTATTGATGTAACTGAGCCTGGTCGTGACGAGGATTTAGCGTTTATGCAAGAAGAGGCAAAAAAGCATAACAAGAAAACACAACTTCCTCCTCAGATCTTCAATGATGATGTATACTGTGGTGTAAGTCCTTTAAATTTTGATTATTCTATAGTCTAATTACTATGTAGTAGTGATTAAATTGTGAATATTATTTGATTATAAAAACTAAAATACTGTTAAAGTACTTTACATTTATTTGTAATTTATGTTTAATGTAGGACTTCTAATATGCAATGTTACGTTATTTTCTTTTCTTCCTTTATGTTACATACGTTTGTGGGGTTCATGGAGATTTGGAGTGAATAATGACGACAGCACTCGATGAAGTATCGAAATACATTTTATTCATCCAATATTAATCAGTACAGCTTTAAAGACACGTTTTACAGTTGTCGAAGATCTACTATACACTCGCTGGAACAATCAGTAACCCTGGTTGTCAGATCCAGATTTAAATCCTAGCAAACAAAATGGCTACATGTGAGGTTTCTTAATTCTCCCCATTTATAAAGTAACTACAAGCTACTTTCTCTTAAAACACTCAAGACACCACTTCTCTTAGGTAGATTGTCCTCATATGCTTTCCTATAAACCAAGGAATCCAAACCTGTAATTCATTTCAAACAATAAAAATATTAAATTTTTAAATCCTTTTATATTCATTTAGACAGAAAGAAATGGGTGACATTAATATTATGCACCAATTATCACTCCTATTTATTAATCATATATTAATGTATAATTAATGAAGTTTAAAAGTAATGTTTGATCCAACTCATCAGCAAGAAAACATGAATTTTACCTAGGAAATTAATCCATGAACTACATAAAAGTAAAAATCTAAGATACTAAACTTGATCTAATGAAATAAAGAGAAATAATTTTGCTAAATTAATCTCCCTTGTTTGGAGCTTCATAACGAACTTGTCAAGTTTTGAAGCTCCATACCTGGTCAGAGCGGCAAGACAAATTTCGCTCCAAAATCACTGAGACTCAGAATGTATACTATCAGTTGTCAATAATTTAGAGAATTAGAGTCCATTGAATTGTTCTTTTCCCTTTTGTCTTAGATTTCTAACAAAATATGAAAGAAATATTTTTACAAAAACAATTAAAAATTTTGCTTCAAATATCCAATTAAAAAACTGTGACTCATGAAAAAATTTTACTATGTAAAAAGTAAAAATGGAAAATTGAATTTTAGTAAAACAACTTAAAAAAGGAGTGTCTCGAAAAAGATGAAGAAAACTGCTTAGAAAATTGTAAATTTAAAATGGACTAGAGACTATGTAAGTGAATGAACAAAAAATTGGTAATAATTTTTAATTATGATCTGTGAAAAGAAAAAAGAAGTGGCATCAGAGCAAAGTGAAATCGACTAGTTACGAGGCAGCTTTGCAAAAGTAAAAACTTATTAAGCGAAAAAGGAATAGTTAAAATGAAGAGGTTCTAAGACAATAGAAACTAAAAGTGCTAAATGAAAAATGAAATTGTAAAAGTAATACAGTAATTTAAACTTACTGTATACAGTAATACAGTAAGTTTAAATTAAAACAGTCTGAAAAAGGAAAGAGAAGTCAACTTACTAAACACGAACACTGCTTGGAAAGAAGCTTGAAAATTGAATGTAGGTGAAGGTTTGTTATATAGCGTTGTGTAGTAAGGTTACTATAAGTGAAAAACGTCATTTTAAGCAAATAGGAGTTCAAGCTGCAAGTGGCGTGTCTTTGTAAACGGGTGGGTTCCTCTTAGTTAGAAGAATTATATTTCTAGCTATTTATTCATCAAACATATATACATTAACAAAAACATTTTAAATTTATAGATAAAACTAAATGTTTTCATAGTTAAAATTGAGCAGTATTTTGGGTGTGTAACTATTTATAAATATTTTATCTTAATTAAGAAAATATCAAAAAATCCTTTAATCTAGTTACGAGTAGGGACTTATGTATTAATGCAACCCACTATTTATTTATTTTTCTTTTTACATATTACATGCTCCCCCCTTAGGCACTACACGGGAAGGGAGGGATGCCCCATGGAGGTCATTTAAGGGAAACTGGCTCGTATTTACGTTACACATGGGGGAAACCACGGAAATGCCAATGCAGCCAGCCTTTTCGCTGAGACTCGAACCCCGGAGCGAATTACCAGTGTTCAGCGGCTTTTTATCGCTCGGCCGCTGGTGGGCCTAACCCACTTTAGCTGAAGTGCCAAATTTCCCGAATGCATCAAGCTCTGGTAACTATGCACCATTCTTTAGTTTTCGAAAAGCAGTGTCATCATTTTTGTGTTCTCTCCTCCCTCCTTCTCACACTGTAAGTTTTCGCTGTTTTCATCTATAAATTGGGATATTTTTGTCCTAAAATATGAGCTTTTAGAATTAACCTGCACAATGAAAAACTGCTGCTGGAATAGAATATTTTGCTGCAAAATCATTAAATAAAAACTTTTTTGAATCTGTTCTTAGAATGATTGCCCTGAATTTCCACCTGAACAAAACAAAGGTACTGTTCTGTTATGGGACCATATTCAGAAATGTATGAATGTGTGTTTGTAGGTATGTGCATGTATGTGTATTTACAGTTATATGTTTGTATGTACCCTGTATGTATTTACACTTATATGTTTGTATGCAACTTGTATGTTTGTTGTACATTTCTGAACCCGGTCCTGATGTAACAAAACGGTACTAAAACAAATAAAAGCCCACTTGAAATAGATAAATGCCTAATTTATACATAAAATAGGTGTATATAATAAATAATTTTGCTATAAGTTGTCATTCTTTTGTTTCTGTAAAAACTTCCAAAACTATGCCATGCTAATATGTAAGTACTCTGATTTTGTATTGTTTGCAAACTTATTTACTTTTAAAATGCTCTTGTATGTTTCTTTATTAATAGCTTATTTTGCAAGTTCATAGATAATTTGAAAGGAATGGAGTGCAAACTGCATTCCTTCAAATTATATATCTGCAACACTGTATTATACAGTGTTGCAAAAATAATCTAAAATTCTTAGTTTTTAAAACTATAAATACTTATGTTTTTGAAACTTAGGAGAGGCTTCAAATGATGATCTAATATTGTGATAGTCTTTTTAACATTAACTTTTATAATAGGTGAAATATTTATACTGAATTAGTTAATAGCGACTTGTGTTTTCTTAACTCAAAATAGCATTTAATATTTTAGTAGTTGTGTATTAGCTGGTTATCTGCCAATGCATTGCTAACTATGTTTTGGTAATGAAATATTTCCAATATCTGTATTTGATTTCCAGAAGTTGATCTGTGATAGTCATATTCAAAATTACATAAAATTGTTATTCTTTGTAGTTTGGCTTTGCTTCGATAAGAACTCTGCTAAGAAGGCAAGTTATTTTTCTCAAACCTATGCCCAGTTCTTATTCTAACACTTTATCAGCTGTTCCTAACATTACATTTCCATCGTGAATAGTTTCATTACATAGGAATTAGAACAGTCATGATTTCTTGGTAAAATACCATAATCACAGAAATAATGGATTGTTTTTGTTTCATGTATTTCCAAATTAAATAAATATGCAGTAAAAACTAATGAGATGAACAAGCATTACCCTCCAAAAACTTGCCTTGTAAAAGGATTCTCAAAAAATGACGCAGTGCAGTTATGCACTTGCTCTTATATGCCCTCAAGTTGGCATTGACATGAAGACGACCATCCCCACCAACTCTTAACCCCTCAAAAGGAGAACATTAAGAAGAAAAATAAAAGAATCTCATCTTTCTATAAGAATCTGGAACAGTTTCTAAAATTGCTAAATGCTCACAGGAATCAGTCAAGGTAGTATTTTTGGCAATGTAAAAATCAATTTCGTGGTAGTTAATACACAAGTACTTATTTTAAATATTATTTTTGATAAACTGATAACTTTAAATTCTGTATCAGGATTATGCAGACTTTGAAGTGGCCAATGATGATGATGATATCATGAGGTTTTTAAAACTTGAAACAGGACCTACCAAATCTGAACTACTGAATAATGCTGCACCTGAAAGTGACGTAATTACACAAAATGGTATTAGTGGTCATGAAAATGGAGAAACAAAGGTAATTTCTTTTCCATCAAGCATTTTAAATTATTCTTTTGGGCTGTGTCTTTATTTGTATTGTCTATATTCCCATATTTGCAGAGAGAATAAGGCTGCTACTTTTTTTAAACTTAAGCTGTGCAAAATTATAGAGACTTAGAGAATAAGGCTGCTACTTTTTTAAAACTTAAGTTGTGCAAAATTATAGACACTTTAAAATGCAATACGTTTTTAAATACCTCTCTTGCACCTTTCAACAGGCAAGAATACTGAGTCTAAAGTTTTAAAAATAAATTACATACTTTGTAATTTGACCTATTTTCAAATTGTGCTGCTGCCTAGCATCAAAAAGTGTGCACTGTATATAATGTTGGCTTTAGTTTTTAATGTAAGAAAGACTATCATGCATTTGTTAGTCCCCCCCTCCCCTCTACAGCATATTTAAATCTTTAGCAGGCATATTGGTAACTTTCTTCCTGACAAATTATAGTATTTTTCAATTTGCAATAAATAATGTTTCAATGACCTGCAAAGTTTAATTTCTTAAAAAGAGGGAACATAAATCCTCATATCAAGGGATATCTGTTTTGTTCACTGGAAATATTTCATTCCAGTCAAAAAGAATTCTTAAAGGTAGGCTAATGAGCTTCATTGCATATCTGTTATAATTTTTAAATAATATTTTAATTGATTTAATTTTTAAATAATGTAAGATTTTTCATTCTGAGTAACAATTAAATGTGGACATGTAAACTCTCTTTTTGTTTAAAACTTGGTTTTGGAAATCTACTCCAAAATTATAAATACAATTAATAAAACAGAAATTAAAGTTTTAAAATATTTTAACTGGCAGTAACAAAAGAAGAAAGTCATGATAAAAATTGGACATATTTTCAAACATTTCTAAAAATTGTAAAGTTAAGAGTTATATCAGTTCTTAAGTTTTCTATTAGCATGACTGGAGTGTATAATTTTGTACAGTCTTTCTCATCAGTTACACATTTATCAACTTTTTATGAAAAAAATGAAGGTTAAAGATACTTTCTTTTTGAAAAATTGATTTTATAGTCCGGAAACCTTTTTTTTTTTTTTTTTTTTAATTAAATTTGCACACTTAATGAATAGCTTTTCTCTCCTTTGAAATCTGATCAAAATAAAATTCTTCACAATCAATAAAGAATCATCTAAATTTTGTTCAATCTCATTCATTCATCAGGATAAAATTCAGCTTTCCTTGATGCATGCATAACTATTCAGGGTTAAAGAGAAGGGCTACGTCATTCCTTTGAGTGACCTCTCGCTGGCGAGATTCTCGTAGAGGGGGTTAACAGGAAATAGTCTGATGTCACTAGGTTGCATCTGTTTTGACTTAGTCTGTTTAAAACTTTAGTTACATTCTACTGTGAAGCAATATTCTAGCAATGTGGACATCCCAAATTAATTTTAATCGCATATATTGTTTCCTAGTAAAGCAGTATCAAAGTCCAATGGTGACCCACGGATTGCATGTGGCCCTTGAAGTAATTTTATGCTACCTGTGCATATGTATATAATACTTATATATAACTTTAAAAAGCTGTTAATCTCAGATAGAGTAATATAATTCTTCCATTTTGTATGTAGATGATGATAAGGTATTGAATGCCATAGTTTTTTCTTCATGATTTAATAATAAACACACAGGGGGTAAACCTACAACTTTTAAGAAAACAAAACTGTAGTGTATTTTATCAATTATATCAAAATTAATAAATAGGTATTATAAACTTTTTAAGTGTTATATATGCATACAGTAATAACATCTTCTCTTCTATATTATAGCTATTTTTTCAGGCAGTTTTCTCAAATTTAAAATAATTTCTTTTCTGCAAATTGCATCTTTGCAATCAGTGTCAACATGACTATGTCAACACTGCTCACTTCCTGTTTTTTTTTGGGGGGGGGGAAGCTCTATGAACCAGAAACTAGAATGCCTGATACCTTAGAATATATGCTCAACAATAAAAGCAGTAATCATATTATTTTATTGAAAATATGCTCTTGGAGATTATCTAATTATTATCTAATTATCTATCTAATTATTTCTAATTTCATGGGACTGTGTAAAAGGGGAGAATATTATTGAATAATATAAACATTGTGTAAGAACTAGAGCTTTCATAATACATACAGTTTAGAAAATTCTATTAGGCATTATATCAGATGGCCTCCAACTCATGCTGCTACTCTCATCTCTACATTTAGCAGAATAGATAACACTTCCGGCACTTAATATAATATCATGACACAACAAAGAGTTCTTGGAACACATTGCAAGGGTTGGTTGACTCTCATTTTAATATCAAAAAGCAGAAGATATTTAATTATAAATAGATTATTAAGACTTAATTTTATCTCCATGTATTATTTTTTAAGAATGGTTAATATATAGAGAGAAGCACAAACTTTAAATGTAAGGCCCTGGTATAGGAGGATATTTACAGGCAAAGAGAGAGAGAGAGAAAAAATTACGCAAAGATTTTAGGGAGATAACTGTGGCTTGGATGCAGAGCAAAAGTGGAACAGCAGAATCAATATAATAGAATGTGTTACATTTTCCTGTTAATATTGTTGTTTAGTAGGTAAAGGACAAAAAGTTATGAGGGTTGCTATCTTATCAACAAATCCTAATAAAATGAATTGAGGAAGTGATACAAAATGGCAGCAAAAGCTAATAACAATTTTGACATTTTTCTGTTGATTTCATCACCTTAGCATCTGTGTACTCCAGCACCTTCCTAATTAGCATAATTTCCAGTTTTCATTGAAAAAAAATAAATAATTCTTTTAATCACACTCAAAAGTATAATTCATAGATGTTAAATGTAAGATAGGCATGCTTAATTGTACTAAAACCTTAATGGCACAATTTTTGCTGCATTTGGCAAATAAAAAATGTGGCATTTAATTGCTGAAGTTAAGATTTGAAGACACCCACTTCAAAACTGCATATAGTAATTCTAGAATTGTATATATTATATTATGTTGGTCTCTAAGTCTTAAATAATTCTTAGATTATCTCTGTATACTTTGGTCTTTAGCAAGCACCATATTAAAAAAAGTGAAACACCTGAAAAGCTTCTGTCCTTATGAATTGATCTGGTTGTCATTATTGTTGAGTAAACATTCCAAGATATCTCTAAAGCATAAAAAATCATTTAGTGTCAGTGTAGCATGCAAATAATTGCAAACTATAGTATAATAAATTAGAATCTTTTTGTAATATAAAAATTATTCTATTTGATTTTTCTTCTAGTATATTTTATTAATAATAAAAATTAATTTTTTTGCTACTAATTACAAGTCTGTTGTTTTCCTTTAATTGAGAGACTAGTATTGCCTAAAAGTTGGTATAAAGTTGCTTTATCTAAATGTAATTATTGAGTGGTACAGAATTGAAATAAATGGTTGCAATTTTTTTAATTGAATTTTGTTTTAAACAAGAGCAATCACCCTGCATCATCAGCAATCAAACTGTTCATGGATTTTGAATGCAAAAGTTACATGGCCACTAATTAATATATAAAAGTGAAACATTGTACCTTTGTTATTCAATCCTACAAACAATATCTTAAAGATGTACTCAAAATTACACTACACGACATTGAAAATGCAAAATCAAGAACGAGTGGCTCAAAAATTATGCAGATTTCATGATAGACGCATGCCACTGAGTTATGCGAATGATATGAAATGCACAGCTGTCCAGCGCACATTAAAGAAGATAATAGGGACAGAACCTGCAAAATGTTCAATTTCCATGCTGTTATTTCTGCTAGGTAAATCATTGTAGATGTTTACTTGTCTTGGAGGACATCTGCTATAGCAGAGAATGTCAAGCCATTATCAACGGAGGCAGTTCCAGCAGACAGACAATTTTACGAGGGTCTTGGTACTCGGACTGAGAAGGGCAAGTTGGTCCATACAGTAAATCTCAGTTGATACACATCTGGCGCGCCCTCAGTGTACCGGCTATGGCGACAATGGTTGGAACAAGGAAATGCCCTTTATCAGCAGGATAATGCCCTTCCACACCCTGCTTGAATCAGCCAACGTGCTCTGCAAGATGTATAATTGCTTTTCTGGCCACCTTTTTCTCCTGATCTCTCACCAATCAAACACGTTTGGGATGTGATTAGATGCCATTTGCAGACTCTGCCATTACTGCATTCAGAAGATGAACTGTGGCAAATGGTTGACAGAGAGTGGAGGACTATTCTGCAGGATATCATTCCTAGGTACAGAGTCAATGAAACACTAAACTTGTTGCTTCTTGTATCGCCATCCAAGGTGGTCCTATAACCTGCTAAGCAGACGTTGTTCTCGCTCTGTATTATGCATAATATTTCAAAATAAAGATCACTTATTTTTTGTTGCTGATCCTCTCTGTTTGTTGAGTTTCATCCCTTTCTGGCCACTCCTTCTTTCTTGGTGTTGCATTTTCAATGTTGTGTAGTGTATATAGGTACTAAGTTTAACCTATTTGTCTGTATCATTTACCTCAATGGGAGGCTTCCAGAGCCGCAACACAGTGAAATTATGTTATGCTGTAGTCTATTAGATATAAGTAGAGAATATTCAAAGTTAAAAAAGAATTCTAAGGATATTTTAATTGATTGATTGCCTCCTCCTTTTTTTTTTTTTTTTTTTTTTTTTTTTTTTTTTCAGTTGCCAAAAAACGTTAATGAGTTTATATAACATAGCAGCTTTCAGCTCAGAGTATTTTCGATGTCACAAATTTGTTATACTGTCTAAAATGTCTGTTATGGAGCAAACCCTGTAGCATGCTGGGCAAACTTGTATTTGAGAAATGTTGCCCAACTGATTGCCACTTTAACCTCATTAGCCATATGGTATCTGTTTGGGCAAAGCTGGGTACAAATTGTTCTCTGTTAATAACATTAAGATATAAATGTATATTCAAATGCTTTAGTTTAATGTTTAGACCTAAACAAGGATGAGAAATGAATGCATCTGAAGTATTAATTTCAGAATTTATTGAAACAGTATTTGCCCAAAATTTCCATGATTGAATATACTTACTATTTCAAAATATATATGCCTTGCTTCATATTTGAACATGTTAATGTTTCTTAATGTTATGTTAATATTTATCACTTTATAAAAAAACAAGCAAATTTTGTTGTTTTGAGATGTAGCATAGTCTGCATATGAGACTTCTTTTAAAGGCTGCTAATATACCTATATTCTATATCAGTCATCTATTTCTTTTTTCAGATTATTTCAATTTGTCTACAGCCTTTACATCTTAATTTTTTTATGTTTTATATTCTTTAGAGAGCAGCATTCATGAAACAGGAAAATTCATATTGTTCAGAAAATAAATGAAGAATGGTAAAAGAAACACAAAGTATAGAATTTATGATATATGTTTATGCAAAGAAACCTCTGCCAGTTTCTTCATAAACACTATAAAGGATGCCATGAGGGATAGAAATGATTCTCTCTTATTAAATCTGTTACAAAAAGACAATTTGTTTTCATACAAAGTTTCAGGTATTCTCTGAATTAGGGATAAAGTTTGTGATAATACGGTGGGTAGCCAATCTACTACCGAAAGTTTTTTTTTACATCCCCTCCTAATCTGTAATGTGAATACAAGATAGTATCCTATAAGAAATTCTTCACAAATACATGTTTGTCTCTTCCAAGGCCAGCCGTGCTTTGCCACTGTAAATAGTAACCTTACATAACGAAATCCAAAATTGTTCTGTAAACTGCATTCCTTAATAGAGCCTTAAAATATTATATACTGCATAGGTTCAAATATTTGTCTCTCTCGCACATGCCCGATTTTTAAGAGTTAACAGTGATTACAAGCCTCAGTTTTGTACCACTTTGTGTTTTTTAAAAATCAAATCTTTGACAACATACATATGGATCAAATGTTTAGTTATTTTTGTGTACTTGATTGTGGTGTTTCACTTTTAGGAAAATGCTGAACCTTTGGGAGAACATGAGTCTAATGATACAGGTGAGATTATAAATGAATCTGAACAGAACATTTTAGCTAATGTTGAATCTGAGGATGTAAAGGAGGACATGGAATTGTTAGAAAAGGCAGATATAAAAGATAATGAAGTAAAATCTGAAATATTAGATAACAGTAATGAAAAATTAAATCTTGATGCAACTGATAAGAAAAAAGTTGAAGAATCATCTGAAGAAGAAAGTGAAGAAGAATCAGAATAATAAATTTTTGAAGAAAAAGTCAGAATTACTTATTGACAAATTTCTGTTAGATTTTTAGGTGGCTATTCATTTTAAACTATTCACATTATAATATATTCTGAAACATTTGAATATTCACAAAAATAAAAAAAATAAGCTTTTATATTTAATCTTTGAAATTTAAGTTAATGTTGCATGCTTATAGAAGTGAACGAATATTGCAAGCTGAAAAGTGCAGGTGCAGATTTATTATGCTATTGAGTATTAAGAGTCAAACTAAATTTTAGACTAAAAGATTTGTAAATTACCAAGAACAGAAATCCAGATGTTTTAGTGAAAAGTTGTGAATTTTTATGATTTTTATGTATTTTGTTACAGAATTTCCCTTTGACTTTTTTCCAATATTGTTATAGGAAATAAAATCAGATCATTATGTTTGAAGAATAAGTAATATTTACCATTTATATTTATAAAAGTGTGAAGAACTTAATTATTGGATGTGTGTGTTTATTAACCATGGTTAATTAAATCTCTCGAAGTATTAATGTTGAATACTAAACGGATACTTTCAAGTATTGTTTCAAAGTAGATATATTTTTAAATAGCATATTTTAGAAAAATACGAAATAAACAGGTTTTAGATTTAGATATAAAAAAAAACCTTATTGTAATTTTCTGGAGATTCTTATTTTTTTTTTTTTTTTTTTTTTTTTTTTAAGTAATTTTTTGTATAAATCTATATTTTGGATCATTATACTGTAAAAATTTTTTGGCTGTCAGGCAGCATTATTTTGAGGTGAGATGCTATTTTGATCTTGTTCTTTTGCTAGAAAAAAAGTTTATAATTGAAAGAGAATCAGTGAGTAAATTATTTGATTTCTTATAGTTTTATAATCACGTGTGTACTTTTCCATTACTTGCATTCTAATGAGATAAATGGCATATTATTATAAGATTAATTTGTAACCAGAATTATCTGGTTTTGATATTTCAATTGGAATGAGTTTTGAAAATTTAAATTGTGTTATTTATTTTTTTTAAACTGACACATAAAATGAACAGATGAAATATACTTAAATATCAGTTGTCATATTAGGATTGTTCTCTCCCCCCCTTTTTTGTGCATGTGTAATAGTGTAATTCATATACACTGACTCATTGTCATTGGTTTTGTGTATTTAAGATACATTTGTGTATAGAAATTTATTCATATCTTAAAATTTTTAATTATGGTATTTTATACCTTCATTTTAAATAGTCAGGTTTAAGTGTCTCAGTAATTTTGAAAGTATATAAAACTGTAAAATATTGAAATTTGTATATACATTTCTATTAATGTAAGTACAAATGTTTGTTATTTGGAGTAGGTCAGAAAATTTTATATATGTTTTATGTAATAGTAATTAATTGAATATTTTGAATAAATGTGTTTAATTCTTGATGTAAAATTATTTGATCTCAAAACATTTCATAAAATGGGTAATTCTTTTTATTAATTTCAGCATGAAGACTAAATTTTACCTGATCATCATCATTTGAAGATTCCCATATTAACACTTCCATTTGCATGATTTGTTTGAATAACAATCTCATTTGTGTCCGCAAATATGCTTTGCTTGATTCCTGGAGCAAATCAAGTAATGAGATATAGCAAGAACTGCATATATGTCCATCAAATTATTTACATTTTTTTAAAGCTGATATTCAGTATTTTATTTCAAAACATTCAAAGCACAAATTTTTATGCAGTTTTGCAGATGTCTGTGATATACTATAAATTCAATTTCTAATGTATATTTTACATTTCAACCAATTAGGAAAAAAATTTTAAAGTTATTTTGTTAATATATTATCATCTTTTAAAAGTGTGGCTTACTGCTGGCAGTAGTTTTTTTTTTGCACTCATGTGTATATTGACATTACATTTTCTTAAATTTATGATTGTATCATCTAAATGGTTTGCTCTGGTAATAGATTTTATGTTTAACCTAATGCATGATTATTAACATAATGCAAATATTGTATGCTTGTTGACTGTGCAAAAAATATAATTGTTAAAAGAACATAGATGAATAACATCTGTTAAATATTATATCAAAAAATTTTATTCATATCTGTAATTAATATTACTGTTGCATAATATGAAACTGAGAATAACTCAGAAGTTATGTATCATGCTTGTTCAAACTGTGCGTACCTTTTGCATTGCTACTGAACTGCAATATTGAATAAGCAATACAGCACAGAAATGTAACAATTTGTATATTTATTCTTGTGTTAAAACAGGCAACAGTGCAAATATTGAACTGCATTCGTTTTAATGTGATTAAATTATTTTTATTCATATACTAGTATTTAAGTTAAAGTGTTGAGTAAAAAATTTTATTCTCTGACCTTTCCTTAAATTTCAGTTACTTCACTATGTTATTTTAATGTGAATAATTTTGTACATTAATTGATAGAATTTGCTGTGTTCGTGAGGATTGTAAAAATTTAATTCTACACTGTGTGTGGGGGGGTAAAAGCTAAATTCTGCTGCGTATTGATTGCACATTTGTATCATAAATAATGATAGAATTATGTGCATATATGACAACCTTATATTACCTATTAAATTTTTTCTTAATTTATGGAAGGTATCATCTGTAATTTAACTTGAAAGTAATCTTGTATTATTATTAATAAGGGAATGGTGATGTTTGTCTTTGGTTTTAGTATTACTTCTAAGAAAGGGTAACTGGATCAAAAGTTTTAATCTCGTACAATTAATTAATAATTGTTATAGTTTTTATTTCATTATAAACACATAAATGAAAATGTAATGAATCTGAAAATATTAAAATTTCATCTGTAATTTAACTTGAAAGTAATCTTGTATTATTATTAATAACTATAAGGGAATGGTGATGTTTGTCTTTGGTTTTAGTAATACTTCTACGAAAGCGTAACTGGATCAAAAGATTTAATCTCATACAACTAATTAATAATTGTTTTATTTTTTATTTCATTATAAATGCATAACTGAAAGAAATGTAATGAATCTGAAAATATTAAAATTTCAGGTTATTAAAGAATTTAAAAATTCATTTTTATTGAACTTGTTTTAACACAGCTTTTTTTTTCCTTTGAAAAATATCAAAAGCTGTTTGCATTTTCCTTATCTCGCAATTAATTGAACTTTTCTTATAAGAAAGAAAGAATATTTATCTGGTGTGCAAACTTATTACAGCAACATAGAATGTTTTTGTGTTGGAACATAGCATTACAAAAACTTTACCTATAAGAATACACAGAAAATGTGGTCATGACATTTTCACTTATGTGGTAAATGTCCAATAGTCTAGCATGCAATGTTTTGTCATACCTCATAATCTGGTGGCTGTTTCATCAATCTTAAAGTGAGGCAACTAATTGTCATTTTGCAATATTTAGAAAGGCTCAATAGTTGCTTCACATATTGTTCGTTTTCAGCTGATCTTCCCCCTCCACTCCCCTTCCCCCAAATTTTGCATTTATGTATAATTTGCTCTCTTTCTTTAGAATATTTTCAAAACTTAAAATATAGCTGAGGGAATAACAAGAATTAATTTTAGGGGAGTGCAAGCAACTTTATAATATCAACCATTTTTCTTATTTGTAACTTTATAATTGCAAATAAGAAAAATTCCACAATTTTTGTGGAATTTTTCTTATTTGTAATTTAGCCATTCATTCAATTGCATTTGTATTATTGTTATTAATGATGAGAGTTTAGGAAAATGCCAGTCAAGAACACAAAAATACTTATTTTATCATGTCAAACATATCCTTAAAAACAGTTTTTTTAATTTACACGAAATCATAATTTATACAGTAATGTTTAAAACTTCTTTTATGTTTTCTTTTATGTTTATATGACAAACATAATCCATTTAAACTCTTTTCATATGTACTAATTTGTAAATTTATTGGACATTTTAGCACAGAAATTAATCTTTCCATATTATGTGTGGTAACTGTTAATGTTATTAAGATTTTCAAAAGTTTGTACACAAAAAATCTTTTGATTGGAGGCCACTAAAGCTTCTATAATGATTGGAGGCCACTAAAGCTTCTATAACAGGTAACCTATTTTGCTCTTGATGCAGTTTTCTATGCCCAGAGTTGCCAACTCTCCCGACTTCAGACCGTTCTCCCGCCAACCCGATTTTCAATAGATTTCTCCCGACTTTTTTTCTTATTCTTAAAATTTCTCACGATTATTATGTATCTTGGCCTAATACTTCATTATTTGCACCAAAAAAGTGGTTCTGGGCATTTTTCTCTAGATTACATCTAAAAGAAAATCAAACTTGTTTCCTCAGTGAGAAATTATGCAGCATTTCTGCTGTGAGTGAGACCAAATGTGTTCAAAAACATTGTGTTCCGGTTCTGCAATCAGCATCGAGCACCAGTGCATATCATCTGGCATATATTAAGCAATCAGTACAAACCAAGATCGAGGCCATTATTTGCACCAAAAAAGTGGTTCTGGGCATTTTTCTCTAGATTACATCTAAAAGAAAATCAAACTCGTTTCCTCAGTGAGAAATTATGCAGCATTTCTGCTGTGAGTGAGACCAAATGTGTTCAAAAACATTGTGTTCCGGTTCTGCAATCAGCATCGAGCACCAGTGCATATCATCTGGCATATATTAAGCAATCAGTACAAACCAAGATCGAGGCCATTATTTTGTTCATCTTGTCATTGACCGGTGCGCGTGCTTTCGAAAAATAGTTTAATAAATTATGATCTTTTGTGTTAGTTATGTCTACATAAAAGGTAAAATACTCATGTACTTTTCAAAAATTATATATGGATGGCTCTCCTTCTATTATTTCCTAAAGAAAATATAATAGATTTGTGATGTGTACTGTCTGTCACTGCAGTTTTTTTGATTTCATATGGTGTAAGGGCGTTGTTCGCCGATAACATCGCGGAGAAAACAATGCAAGGTGAAAACATCGCAAAGAGAAAACATTGTGGTACAAAATATTGTCGTCGAAAATGTTAAACTTGCAGTGATCGTGGTAAAAAATATATCATAACGATAACCCGGACGTTTCTTTTTGGAAATGTATTCCCATAATGATTTGTCGCAAGATGTAAAAAAGGAAATTTTTTTCACATTATTTTTTTAACTAATAAACATGCTGAAAAAGAAGAAACTTAAGCATAAAAATTAAACAACAAGCATACTTTTCATGAAAAATTTACCAGTAAAACTTTATAAAACAGTATTTATTCTGCTTGTTATAACCAGTTGCTAAAATAATTTGCAATTTTTTGCTTAGTTTCTTTTTAGTTTCTCACAAAATGTATTGGTTAATAAATATGTTAATTATCTTTTTCCAGTTGCATATCATGGATATCCATTTGTATTATTAAGTTAAAACATTTTTAATGTTATTGTCAACGAGATTTGTCGACTTTATTTTTTACCCCGATATTTTCGAGACTAAAAAACTTTTTTGCTTTCGACGACGATGTTTTTACAAAATTTTAAACTCGATTTTCCTGATGTTTTGTAATAATTGCCTTGCGTTTGTTTCGATTTCTAAACATAATCAGGGTTCAAAACAACTTCAAGGTGAAAAATGCAAACTGTTTAAAATATTGGCGACAGGGCTAAAAATTTTCAAAAATTCGCAGTTTTAAAAACATGCATTGTAAAAAATTAATGTACACATACATGGATATTCCATAAGGAAATGCGCAAGATGTAAAGAAGGATAATTTTTACTTTCACATTATTTTTTTATTAACTAATAAATTTTTGCTGAAAAAGAAGGAAACTTAAGCATAGAAAATTAAATGCAACTTATAGATTATACTTTTCATGAAAAATTACCAGTAAAAACTTTATAAAAAAAAGTGATTTATTAATGGCCCTTGTTAGTTAACTATGCCGGTTTAAAATTCTATTAAGTGCTATAAGTTGCATTAATTTTCTATGCTTAAGTTTCCTTTTTAATTTTCTCAGCAAAAATGTATTGGTTAATAAAAAGTATGAAAGTAAAAATTATCCTTCTTTCCATCTTGCACTCACAAATCATTACGGGAATATCCATTTGTAGTTATTAAAGCCTGAAAAAAGCATGTTTGCAATGTTATCGTCATGCGATGATTTGTAGATACTTTATTTTTTACCCCGATATTTTCGACGGTGATTTTTTTTAAACAGCAAAGTTTTTTAACCGCTTTTTTCGACGACGATGTTTTGTACCACGATGTTTTAGAACTGCGATGTTTTCTCCCACGATGTTTTGTAGCATGACGTTTTTGCCTTGCGTTGTTTTCTCCGCGACGTTTTCGGCTGTAACCGGAAGGGCAGATGTTCTCTCAAACACATGCATACACGAAAACACAAGGACAACAGGAATTCTGTTGAAAAAAGCAAAAAATTAGATTTTACTGTGGAA